AACTGATCACATCACGGTACCGCAAAATCATTAATCCTTTTCTGTATCGCCCATCAGTAAGCGCATTGTCCTTGTCAATCACTAGAAATCCACTCTTGCTGCCAACATTTACGACATAAATCGTAGAAATTCTCGTAAGGCATTTCGATATTCACGTGATCGTTGTACACGCCTTTCAGATTGATACCATTCTGTTTGAACAAGATCAACAGATTTGCTTTATCGCATATAAGGTACTTCGGTATTTGTGCGTACGTCTGACAGAGATAGAAGTACGACGTCCGCGTGTCGTCCCATTGCAAAGTATTCTCTTATCGCGTCCTGCGCATGCCACGTCATCAAAGATAAAGATGGAATTCGGAAGTGCCTCGCTCAATGGAATGACGTCGCTTATTGGAGAATGTAAAATAGCCAATTTTTTCGATCGGTGCTAACAAATTCGCCAGGTATCAATATTTCGGCTGTTAATTTTGAGTATACGTTCTCCAATCGTACGCCATACGTACTTTTTAACAAACTTATCAGCACATTCATCTTTGACGGTCCGTAGACGATAACGCATGTAGAGGCCGGTAGCATGTTGCCATGCTTGCGCATCTTTTTATCGGTTTGCACTTTGCTATCGAGATTCGTCACTTTGATCGTCCGCGACTGGCACACGAACCGTATATTTTCTCCTTCTACAAAATACTGAAAACAATATCGCGAGCGGGTCTTTTTATAGACCGTAGAGAAATCGCTCAGTAATCAAAATGTTTCTCATTGTTGCACAATTTAACTTCAAAAGAGCTGGAATATATACCGAAAATTGTACTGCTGCGAGAGTTAAAAAATTTTATAGATCTGTTATGTGACAGTTTATCCGAACATATACAAACAGATTCGGAGGTACAACAATACCATCGATACCTGAAGCATTACAATTTATCGACTCATCAAACGCATATCGACGGTCCGGCGCCTTTGATAATAAATTGCGGCGAATGCCGTTGAAAAGCTTGTTAAATCGTATGATAAACGCGCTTTCAAACTGCATATTCCCGGATATCAATTTTGCGGTTCGGGAACGCGATTAGAGAAGCAATTGGCCAGAGGTGATTGTATTAATCTATTGGATACTGCGTGTCGCGATCATGAAATGGCATATTCGCGCAGCAACGATCTCGCTGAACGACATGTGACTGACAATATACTCGCCGAGAAGGCGCAGAAACGCATTACCGCGAAAGATTCGACTTTTGGAGAGAGAGAGAGTTGCAGCTATGGCATATAGCCATTATATTTGGATAGCTGAAGGCAAAAACAAAGATTAATATGAGCTTGAAAATAAAGAAAAAGAAGAAGGATAAACGGATACTTCCGACAGTGAAATGCGACATCTTGCCCGTTCTACCGCTGGACGTTCTCAAATCATTGGTCGGCAGGGCGGGGGGAGTCGCCAAGACCGTAAACGAAGCGTAATAAAGCGGCGCAGCGTCAATTGGAAGAACTGCAACGTCATGGAAGACCGCGTTTATCTCGCTCCCTACAAGCACGGACAAGATATCGAAACGAGAACGGTATCGTAAATCTAGACAGTGCCGAGGGACTCGATACGCATTGGATGGCGTATGCGAAAAGAGAGAATCGTGTCTTGTACTTTGACAGTTTCGGCAATCTTCGAACTCAAACAATATCTGGCAAACAGGGTAATCGAGTACAATCGTGCGCCTTATCAGCGTTACAATCAAAACAATTGCGGGCTATATCTATAGTTTCTGCGGTCGATTAATAAGCAATTTAAGGACGGACGTTGCATCGTTTAATTCAGTCGTTTTGCTCGTTCAAACATGTCGCTGATTAGCAAGAGTAGCATCCTTGCTATGAGTTACTTTCTAGCGATACATTTGGGCAACGGCGATTACGAGTTCGGTCTGACAGACTTTGAAACGTACTATATTCTAGAATATAAATTCGACAAACAACAAGTTTTACTATGACAACGAAGAAATTGTCATTCACGAAAAATCGTACGAACTATGCGATACAGATACCTGAAGCGTGAAATTTTACGTTCTCATGACGCGAAGGGCAAAGAGGATGAAGAGTTCCCGCTGGTTCGCGCCAACAACAATACAATGAGAAGCGAGATCAAATGCGCCTATCGGATAAATTTTATAAAACTTTGCAACATTGGCTCGCTGCTGAGATTCGTCGTGCTGGAATCGCGTGCTGGAGTCATGATAGTGGCACGAGTCGGACGTGCCGATAAATATTATCAACGTAAATATCATTCGTATCGAACGCGGGTGCGTACAGCAACGACAACTACGTGCACATGATACACGAGCATATTTTCATTGAATGTACCGCCAGGATATAAGATATCCTATAAAAGCTACATCATTTACCTTTCAGATCATTTATCTTTCGATCGTCGTACAGAGCATTACGGATCTGACGATTCGCGTGAATCAAGATGGTCAATTACTCAATTTTCGCGGGGAGAAGATCACCGTTAGATTGTACCTACGACGGCGCTAAAATGAGATGCTGTGTTGAACAGCCGAATTAGACGAAAGACACCTATTAACGGAGAGACTACATCTGAAAAGAAACTCACTGCGTCCAACTTTGCATTTTTAAAGTCGTTGAGTTTTATCGTACGAAATGACTGATATCTTAAATATTACCGGTGAGCCGATCTTTGACAATCGTATTGTCAAGAGACTCACACGTACAACCCACCAATATTATATTTGAACATAGCGACAAGATACGAATAGCCATACAGCAGAATTTGTACGCGTTGCCGTGACATTTTCTCTACATCGAAGGAAGATTGACGGTGAAGAAGAAATCGTCATATGTCAATGACGCTTGGAAATAATTACGTGGCGTTCATATTCGATGAAATTCGATATGAACTCAACGGAGATTGATCGCAACAGAAACATCGGAATTATCAGTACCATCAAGAATTACGTGTCGATGACGTACGACAAAGCTTTGATTGCACTGGACGCTGGATGGAACTGACATGGAGGAAGGACACTTTAATTCTTGCGTGCCGCTCAACTGCTGTTGGATTTTTGCGAAGATTACAAACGCGTAGTTGTAAACGCTCGCCACAAATTGATTTTGATCAAGCGCGCAACGATTACAATTGTTTGGTGGGAAATGCGATAGAGATAGAGATTGAATTATTCAAAGTGCAGTGGCGAATGCCTTATGTTGCGTTAAACGAGATCAATAAATTATCAATGCTGCGAACATTGGAAAGTCGGATTGGTCGTTATCTGAACAGTTATATGAGTTTTCGCTCGTGAAATCTGTATGATTATCCTTTATTACAAAATACGACTATACATTCAAAACGGCGACTCAGCTTGAGAAGCCGCAATATGTTATTTTTGCTCTACAGACCGAATATCGAAAAAATATCATGTCACTATATGTTCAACGATTGTAATTTGTGTAACGTGAAACTTTATATAAATTCAGCGTTTTATCCGTACGACGATTTAAATCTAGATTTGGGAAAAAGAGATGCGCCGTCCTGTTTGATATGTACTCGCGTTTTCGTAAAGTATATTATGGAATCGATTGCTTGGAAACACTACTCAACATGCTCTCATTTATCGAGAAAGGGTCTTTTGCGGTCATTGATTGTTCATAACAAAACGAATCCGTCAAAAGCGCCATTGTGGACGTACGCATAGAATTTGATTGCAAAGAGAATGTGCCCGCCAATTGTCTCATCATACACAATCATGTAATCGAATACTTTCCATTGTTTAACGTAGTGCGCAAAATCATGCAATGTCAGCAAGTATCCAGAATATAAAAGAAAAAAAAACCGGAGTGAAGTGCAATCTCGAAAAATTGCTCATCATAGTCATACCAATGTTTGTGAATCTGCAAGGATTCGTCGTCGACAAAAGATTTATCGTCAAGGAAGTAGCGGTGCTGAGAAGGGAAACCATTCTCACACACTACATTTTTTCACATCCTATATCATGGCATTTTCTGACAAGATCCGACAAATCTTGCGCTTTCTGGTTGAATATTTATCACCATGGATTGCGATGGTACAATGGGATAGTCCCGTACAGCATGGCGAGGCGTCTAACGGAAACTGATAAAAAAGAGTGAAGCTCTCGTATATGCAAAGGCATACGAAAAACGAAAATGGCTGGTGGATATACTCGACACTGATAATGTCATCATCGAAACTCTGGATACACATTACGAAGATGAAATCACTACGTAATCTAAATAATTGTAACACCATACGATGTGGAAGACACGCTAAGAATTGTGCTTTGCAAAATATATATTTAAAATATTTAACTAGTAGTCGCGACACCAGGAAGAATTATAAGATTTTTAAATAAAATGTATGTTATTCCACATTAATGTTTTATTTCTGTTACCCTTATATCTGTAGACATTAAATAAATATAGTTGATATCCGTTCAATAGCGGTTCGATAGCTGTTTACAGTGAACCGATAGCTATTTGAAAGCTATTTATAACTATTAAATATCAGTCCGTTCAGTAGCTGTTCGATAACAGTTCGATAGCCGTTCGACAACTGTTAGATAGCCATTCGATAGTGGTTTGATATAAGTTTGATATGTTTAATTGCGTTTCAATGATGCTCGAAGAGCTGCAACAGATAAAAATGCTGAGATGGAATCTTTTGGACGCGAGATATACTTTTGATCGAGGCATTGCACATTTGTCATTGATATAAAGCGTTAATGATCTAATTATAACTAATAAAATGCTGAAGTTTCGGCATCGCCATGATATACTTTTTGGCTGAGGTATGAACTTTTGCATGTGGCACTATACTTGGTCGGAAGATTCTTTTTCAAAATGATATCATGCTATCACGTACATTTTTACTATAAATTCCCGCACAGCCTCCACGGTCTGTCAGTTTGCTTGTCGAATGTGTCAATTCGTCTAAAGTCAGTTTGAAATATGAATATTAATAATTTAATCGGTTGTGCATATTATATTAACGTGCAGCAGTTGGTTTAAAAGTCTACTAAATTAATTGATAGTGCGTGCAATTTGCAGCGAGGGATTGCTGATACAGATCATCATGTGCCTGATGGATTGGAAGCTAACGTGAATATTCGCAATGATAATGAGCTGATAGAGAAAACGTAAGTATTACATTATTAATTCAGTAATTAGTAGTGATGCATTCGAGCGAGATGAGAATATTTATCAGTTATTTCTATCAAGATTAAATCTCGGTATTTTCTTATCTTGGGTCGAGATTATAGATTATATCTATTGTGTGTGTGTGTGTGTGTGTGTGTGTGTGTATATATAAATACATATATATATGTATATATTCATTCAGTCATTTATTTTTATTTTTATTTATTCTCATATTTTTTCCAATTTTCTGAAGACGTGGAAAAAACAAACTATAATATATAATATATAATATTAATCTTGTACATGTTATTTTAAACGATACGAAAAGTTTTAGGATGATATTTTGATATTATCGTCAATAATAGCGCAATCACTACAGCGCCAATTCCTTTTAACCCATTGTTTCTTTTTATTTGCATTTTTATATTTTTATTCTTTTGTTTCAGATACGGTATCGCTGACGTCATTACTCAGATAAACGATGGATGCTTTAACAAGATTATTTAAGAAAATTGAGGAAAATTTAAAAAAAATGAACAGATGATTGGGTAGAAAGCGGAGGAGGGAAGATCCAGATGATGATGTCACATTTGTGATGCAGCAACGAAGAACTTAATAATTATAAAAATTTATACAAAAATTATACATATATAGATTGATACAAATAAATACGCATATATAGATTGATACAAATAAATAAATATACATATATAAATTGATAAAAATAAATAAATATACATATATTAGATTAATTCGTTGTCAACAATTATTTGCTTTCTTCCATCCTTCCTTCTTCCAACCTCAGCGATATCATGTTACATGCGACATCGCACTCGACGGTACCATCGCGCTGTTATTATTGCGCAGTGCAAATTATAAAAAATAAAGTAAAATATGATATAATAAAATGTAGATATCAAATAAACAAATAAAATATTTCGCGTGCTAGAAAAATAAGATGACGCATAACAGGAAAAATGGTAAGTATTAATGGTAAGTGTAGCGCGCGATGGAGATCGCGCCTGGCGGCGGTGGAAATTAGCGGTAGACTAGACTGGTCCGGAGACGGTGATAGAGATCGACGGCGGCAGACCGCGCCCAGCAGCCACTGACCTCGCGTGACGTCATCATAGCGACGCGAACCCCGCGTAATTTCCATTTGCGCATTGATATCCATTGATATCATCCTCGTCTCCCGCACCATCCTTTTTCTCCTGTGATGTCATTCCCTCCTCTTTCTCCGTAACGTCATCCCCCACGTCCAGTGATGTCATACTCTCGCCTAGTGACGTCACCCCCTTCCTTCCCCACACCTCCCCACCCCTCACTTCTTCTCACTTCTTCCCAGAATCAGACTATGCATTGAAGATTGAGATTAAAGATTAAAAATTGAAATTTTACCAATAAGGACAAAGAAGTTTTGACTTCTTTTGTTCTGATTGGTCAAACTTCAATCTTTCAATCTTCAATTTCATTCTTCAATGCGTAGTCTGATTCCGGCCTCAGTGTACCTATCCTATTTTATTGTTGCACTTTCTGAACCAAAGAAGTTGTAATATTGGGTCATCTAAAAAGTATCCGCGGTTTTTTGTCACCTAGATGGTGTTGATCATCAATATCATCTAGTGACAAAAAACTGCGGATACTTTTTAGATGACCCAATATATATAGAGCAAGGGACCCCTGTAAGTGGAAATGTTAGATAGTAGAAAAGAAAAGAATATAGGATAGCCAGAGAGAATCAAAAGAGAGTGGAGCGGACTCCCTCGGAAGCTGCCATGTTTAGTACACTATTGAAGTGAATAGGAGATATGGTAGGCATGATGAAACATACGGTGCTGTACATATTAATATTGTACTGCACTAGTATTATGAGTGTATGGCATATAGGTACATACAGTACACTATAAATGGCGGAACCAATCAGAGAAGAGAATCACTATCCACTTCATTCTCTCTGGGGATGACCATTTTTATCTTTGTCTAATGTTGCGCGCGCATAGAACTTTAAAAGCTGAGGCATTAATATATTGCTTTCCTGAAATCTCCCCACTTAATAGTAAAAACAACAACAGTGCATGCGCGATTAAACAAGAATGCTGATGATCATCTCCAGAGAAAATCAAGGAAGCGTGAAATGAATTCAGCCGGAAGCCGCCATTTAGCACGCGTTGAAATGAGTACGAGATATGGTAGGAATGCGATGGAATTATTATACCATATTAGTGTATATGACATATGTATACACACATGCACAGAAGCTATACATGGCAGAACCAAGAGGAGAGAAACGCTATCCGCTCCACGATTCTTTCTAGCCATCTCGTTTCCTATTTCTTTCTATTCGCTCACGCATTCTTAGCTGGCTCCTCTACTCTATAGAGTGATTCAGAACAACCCAGGTATCCCTAAAGAGACATATTCCTGACCGAATTCTAAGACAATTTTTCCTTTAAAATTTTTTCCGAAGTTTATTCTTCAAATTACAGAAGAAATAATTAGTGTATCACGGGTTATGTATAGGGAGTGAGGCACGATTGCGCACATTATCGATTGGACACGGCAGTATTTCCCAATCGGACACGGACCCGATCAGCCGCAGACGTGATTAGATACAGATTCGATTGGACACGGACCCGATTGGCCGCCAATCCGATTGCGCACCGATTCGATTGCACGAGCCAACTACACACAGACTCAATCAAACACAATAGCACTCGGAAAAACGGAGAAAATATTAGTAGATGATAAAAAAACATAAATAAGTGTTTATATATCCACGAAGCGACTCTCACCCTTCCTTCCCCCTGCAAAGGGGCGCACAACTTCTATAATTGTACTGTTGTTGAGATTAAAAAATCGTCATGTAGACAGCAAGATATATAGACTACTACTTATTGATATGGTAATTACGCCCCTCAAACAAAAAAAAATAACATATCCTATGCTTGGAGTTTAATCAAATTAAAAATTACAGCGTAAATAGTGTCTGGTTAGAATATTTTTAATGAAGACGGATGTTTTCATTCATGAAGTAGGATGTGAGAAGTCTGTGTGCAATCAGTTCGTGCGCAATTGGGTTGGTGCGCAATCGGATCAATGCGCGATCGAGTCGGTGTGCAATCAAGTCGATGCACAATCGGGTCTGTGTGCAATCGGATCCGTGTGCAATCGAGTCCGTGTCCTAATGCAACGCTGTGTGTCCGATCGAGTCCGTGTCCAATCGGATCCGTGTCCGATTGAGAAATACTGCCGTGTGATCGATAATGTGCGCAATCGGGACATTCTCCGTATAAGAGACAACAGGAACGGCGCTCATGGTTAGACGCGGGCGCTTTATCCATGGAACGTACACTGACCGGATGCATTTACACATTTATAAAAATACGTTCCTTCTTACCTTTCCCTTTTATCACACTATCTTTTTATCTTTCACTTACTTTAAATATGCTAATTTTATTAAATTATAAATTAGAATAATGAAATTAAAATGAATATTGATTCCTTTGAGTATTGGATTGCATTTTAATTATAATACATTGATAAAATTGTTAGAAAAATGTCATAAAAGAGCGAAATTAGACAATAATTATGTGCGATAAATATTATAAAATTATTATTGACATACAAATCATATAATTATTTTAATACGTCGAAGTCTAAGAGCGTTTCATACAATTTGACGTACTGAAATACTTATTAGACTTAATTGTATGTCAATCGTTAATATACTTGTAGCATGTAATTATTGTCTAATTTCTTTTGTAAAAATTTCTCTAACAATTTTATCAGTGCTATCGCGCTTGTAGCATTTATTATATATTTATAAAAAGTTTTATGAGAAACGCAATTTTACTTTTTAATATTCAAAGAGTTATGTATGAATGTTTAAAGCAAAATATAAGCCAAATACATTTAAAAGCTTATTAATATCTTAATTATAAAATTGTTGTTACCTTGTAGATGTTGATGATTCTATTTTGCTCTAGCTTCTTGAAATAGTCGGAGGATTAAGTTTGAATGTACTGTAATAAGTGCTCCACACAACTGTTTACTGTTTAATTTACTTCTATCATTCAAATGTTAAATATCATTTAGATAATACTCAAGAATTATGTTTTACTTACCGATTTTGATGAAATTAGGCTTATTGAGCGCATTTTTGCATGAAACGAAAGAATCTGGCAAAAAAAAAACGCGTCGTTCTACCCTGTGAGCCGAGATATTAAGCGTTAAAGTTGATAACTATTGAGATTAGGAAACCTGTCACAGAGACAAAATGAAGTCTATAATTGTCTTGTTTCACATGGGTTTCGACTTTCTACGCGAAGCAACTCTCATCTCCGATTCTTACCCCCCTCCTTCCTCCCTCCTTCTTCAAAGGAGCGCATGACTTCTATAATTGTACTGTTATTGTTGAGATTAGAAAATCTGGCAGCTATGCCGCATTGAATAAAAAAAAAATAATATATCCTACCCACTTGGGGCCTAACTGCCTAGAAATTGCAGTCTAGACAGTGTCCGCTTGGAATATTTCTAATCCATGAAGACAGTGAGAACAATCTTTTTAGTGCGGTTTTTTTACTGTCTAGGCAGCAATTTCTAGGGAGTTAGGCCCCAAGCGGTTAGGATATGTTATCTTATATTTGTTCGGGACAGCATAGCAAAATAAAATCGTTAAACATCTACAAGGTAATAGCAATTTTATAATTAAGATAATAAGTTTTTAAAGTATATTTGGTTTACCTTTTTGCTTTAAACATAACTCTTTCATAACTCTTTGAATATTAAACTAAGCATGATCGCGTTTCTCATAAAATTTCTCATAAGTATGCAATAAATGCTACGACAGCGCAAATAAAATTGTTAGAGAAATTTTTATAAAATTGAAAAATTAAACAATAATTTAGCCACAAATATTATAATGTCTATTGATACAATTAAGTTTAACAAGTATTTCAGTACGTCGAATTGTAAAAAACGCTCTTAGAATTCAACGTACTGAAATAATTGTATCATTTGTATGTCAACAATAATTTTATAATGCTTATCGTAATTATTGTCTAATTTCGCTCTTTTATGACATTTCTCTAACAATTTTATCAATTTAATTAAAATGTAATCCGATATTTAAAGGGTTCATTATTTATTTTAATTTCATGCTTTATAACAACCTGACTTTTACACACGGACGTAGTTCGCCGGTATTAATGTTGCGGAACGTAAAAGGGATTCTGGCAGAAACGGTGAGATGCAAAAAAGAAATCGGTGTATTTAATGCTGAAATATAGATAATGTGTATTTACGAGAATTGTCTGATGTACAATCGTGTCTGTGTGACAGCTCGGTATTTCGCGGAATTGACGGAGCCGGCTAGAAAAAACAGTGTCGAGTAATATAATGAAGTGCTTGTGTGTCGTGTCGGTGTGTATCGATGCTCGGTGTCTCAGAGCACCCGTACCACCCTTTTAAAAGGTAGGGATGTGTTTGTACAAAAAAATGGTTCAGACAAAATTT